AAAAATTCCAGTCACCATTATCATATTATACATCAGTTAAAAAAAGAAAAAAAAAATTGAACAAAGGATGTTTAGGCTCAGAAGTACCATATCAGAAGTACCAATATGATTTTGGTAAATTCTTCATTCAGCATGTTTCCTTACACTAAAATTATACATGGGATATAAAAAAAATCAAATCCTTGTGCTTTGCCTTGATAACTTTTAAACCTGGACGCCCTCAGAGCCATTTTCCTAATTTTCGGCAATACATTTCTCCAGTTTGCAAATATTATTTACAGATTGAGTATTTGTTAGTGTCTAAGAATGCAATTTACAGATTTTATATATATTTACATATATATACACAAATTTTCTTAAGAATAAAGCCTTAATGGGTACTTTGGGGGAAATTCCTCGACTAAATTTGACTGAATATAAGCAACTTTCTACATATTTTCTTACAAATATGAGTAACTGAAAGAGTGTTACATTTCAAGACTAGACTATAAAATAATGCGCATCTGAGAGATCACTCCACTGAATGAGGAAAAAGAATGACATAGAATACACATCTCGTCTTCAAAAGAGAAAGGAGAAAAAATGGGTAGTTTCATCCTTTTAAACACTGTTAGAAGGCCAATATAAGATACAACAATTCTCAAATGTGCCCCCAGAACAACTACAGGAAGAAGAGCTTTCACGACACACAAGACAACATAAGATCAACTGTGTATTTCTATATAAATCAAGTTGATCATTACCTTTGCTTTGAAACTGGTTATACAGAGACAAAAGAGGATTTATATTTACACATTTTGGGTGAAATTGGGATGAAAAGAAAAGGAAAATATATAAATATTCTTTTTTTAAATTTGCAGTCACAGAAATAAGATTGTGTAACTGCTTGTTATGTGGAAAAAAAACAAAACCTTCATAAGGCACACAGTGACTGGACAGTACAAAAAAAAGATTTAAAAAAAACAAAGGCAAAAAAAAGGAAAATGTTAGAAAAATATACACTTACAGATATGTTTAAATATCAAACATGTTGCATTAGCAGAGACAGTGGGAAATGGGTGGTTTGTGTTCCTTTTTTTCCACACAAATTTTACATATACCAAGACTTTGCAAACTTTTAACAATAATGCCCAGACTCTGGGATGATATATATAAAATAAATTCAAAATCTTAATATAAAAAAAAAATATTATCAGTGACTGATAGTTTTCAATATAACACAAATCATCACATACACAGTGAAAAATATTCTCAATTCTTATAGCTCCACAAGGCATTAAGAATCAATTTCCACATTAAGACATCACAGAACTGGCAACACTGGAGAGAACTTGGCAGGGCAAGATGGCAATTCCACTTTCAACCCACTTCAATCAGTGTTGCCAAATAGGACTCTAGTGGCAGTTTTCATATACTCTGGGCAACCTAAAGAGCCCAGGAATTTGATATAACCTGTGCGTAATCACCGAATACATATGCAAGACTTCAGACTTTGTTTTTCACAAAGAAATCTAAAAATTATACTAATTTTTCTCTCTTTTGATAATCAAAGTATTATTCTGATTTTATATACATGTAGTGTGATAAGTTCACATCAGGTCATACAACATTTGAAATAAATAAATTACACATATAATACTCATCAGATCCATCATTGATAAAACAATATCTGCTTTAATAACAAACTGGAGGAAAATTTCCAGATATATTTTCTCTCTTTTTTTCTCTCTTTTTTCTTTCTTTTTTTCTTTTTTTACCAACAATATTTTTCTTTCTAAAAAATGACTTTTACAACTCCATAATAAAAGTTGTTGTGCCTCTGACATGACAAAAACCTCACAAAGTTTTAACGAAGATTCAGCCATCTCTAAACCGCGCACTTTCTACTGCTGGAAGGCATACTATACCAAGGTACAGTGCAGAGATTCAGCCACTGCTCAGACCATCACTCCAGTCCTAAATAACAAGGCAAAAGTACTTATCAATCCATCCTCTGAAATATTCTCAATGTATTGGACCATCCTTGTTCTCTTTTATAATTCCTCTTCTGTATTAGCTACAAAAATTAACATATATATATATATATATATGATTTTTAACCTAAAAGGATCCACTCATATAAATCTAATACAGGCATCTAATAAAATATTTTCAAAATTTGTTTCTTATGCTGAAGTTCTTGATTGTCACTCATTAACTATATATTTGTTATAGCAGAAGATGATAATACCAAAACTTAAAGAAAATCTGTAAACAAATATCTAAACAGAAATTCTGGCTATACATGACCTCTGAAGACTTTTTTTTCTCTTTAATGCTTTATATTTTTCTGTAGGGCTAATATAATGAGACTTCAGTCATCATGGATGGGGCAATCCATTAAAAATCATGTAAGTAGCAACTAATTTTAGCTGGAATGCTTTATACCTTTGTCCTGTGGTGAACAAACATTTGCTAGTCAAGTCCATGTCTATCAAAGAGTTTTGCATGCATCACACCTTCCTTTGAATCAGTTTCTGAGGAAAAACACTTTAAATTTGAAAAAAGTGGGTATCACTGGAAGCAACAATCTTTCCCAAAGGTGAAGTGAATGTTTATATCATTCTCTAAATCACTTTTCTCTTATCAAAAAAGAAAAAGACAATCTCCTGACACTGCACTACCCAGTCATAATAAGACTTGACAGAAGATTTTGAAACTTGGAAAGAAGATATTGCAATAATTTTTTTCTTTGCATAAAATGCTTAAAATTCCATGTCATCCAAAGTACGGGAGAGTCTCACATTTTCATTACGTTTCCTCTGGCTTCTCCTTACTGCATCAGCTCGTCGGTATGGCTCATTTTTCAGGCCAATGAGGATATCCTCAAGAGCTCCATGGTAAACGTCCTCTTGAGAAAGAAGGCGTTTATCTGCAACCACACCACGCGCCTTCATTTCACTCATCAGCGCCTCCTATAAATTGTAAAATCAAGTTAGAATGATGGTACATAAAATGATGCAACATGTACAGCCTATTAGGTTCATGAGCACACACACACATATAGATTTAACTGCCCCTGCGAACCCTGTCATGGGAACCCTCTGTCCTTTTGGAATTTAGTTCTCTGCTCACTGGCTCTGATAAGTTTCCTGGAAACTGCAGGTATCATGTCAAATTAAATTATGTATATAACATTCAAGGAAAAAATAACAAGAAAAGGGCTTTCTTTCCTACTCTCACCTTCATAAATTAATCATGAGACCTTAACCTGAATATGATGTTGAACATCTAAGTCATGATTATGAATTCTGAACCAGAGCTGATGATGACAATAAATAAACTGCTCTTTAAGGGAACTAAATATAAAAAAAGACAAGTGAATGGACAATCATTTTCAGTACCTGTTTAAACAACCAGGAATGATGGGAAAGTTGAAACAGGGATGGCTGAAAGGATGATAAGGGGAAACACAGGGACCATGCTATGGCAAGGGGGAATTCATGCATGAACAGGTTTCCACTGGGGTCTAGAATGTAAAATGGTAATGCCATCAGAGCTGAAGAAAAGAGCCTCTGGGGAAATTCTCATTATTCAAATATTGAAAAGGATCTTCGAAAGGTATCATTAGAAAAATAAACAAAGGGTCTTCTCAAGCAAGATAACAAAGTAATTAAGAGTAAGGAAGAGAGAGAACTGAAAAATAGTTTGTAGTTATGAGATTACCATGCATCGAGTACACAAGCCTATAAGGAAAACTTGGAAGGGCTTAACAAATAATATAGAACATTACATAGGCAAATAATTATCCAAACACTTGGACATCTTCATTTTTATCCAGTATCATATATGAGGCCCCCATTAGAGAAGTGATAAATCAGTTTAAAAAACTCGCTCCCAGGAAAAAATACTGTCTGAAACTCTTTTACTTCATTAATATTTCAGAAACTGTTATACAAATATTCCTATCAATATCATGAACAGATCAAGCACTAGTTACTTTGTTCCATGAATTATTAGACTATGGTTGCTTTTGATTTGCTTGGAGGTAATTCATCTCATTTTTTTTACTTGCCTTAGTGATATTACTATATACTAATACTCCTCCACTGGTGGTCTCATACTACTGTTACTAAATCTATCCAACATACTGGAGTCAGAAACCATTTAATGTTGGCAATAATGCAAAAGCCTGACTATAATCACACATCACTTTACTCAGGACAGAATGAAAACTCCTTCAAAATCTGAATACCTGATATGAGAGAGGTTACACAAAACACAAACCCATAATGAACATATAGCTAAGCTATATATTTTGTATAGAATACAAGTAACCATATCCAAACCCAAAGTAATCTCAAACAGCAGTCACTTTGATTGCATATTACAGTCAAGTTACAGAGATACAGTTGTAATTGGGTTTTTCAACGATTTCCTGCATTTTATTCACATGCACAATCAAGGGCTGATAAAAGCTATGAGAGAAAAGTTAAATATCACTGCATTTTATGGGCTCTTTGGTAAGTGTTCATTATCTATACCAGTTAACCTGATATGCCAGTAAATAGATTAGTTACACTGTAGTTATTTGGAACAGAACCTTTAAACAATGAGCACTGATATTCACATGTTTGCTTATCCACTAAAAGCATTCCTTCATATGATAATTCAAAAAGGTTGGCAGGTTTGATATTTGGAACTTATTTTAATATCCAGGGCATGTATGACTGTTCGGGTGCTTAAGCAAGTGACTAGATGTGTAAGAGGAGGGAAGGAGTGCAAAAGAAAGTTGGAGAGGGGAGTTGGAGGACTAAAGCAGGAAGAAGGAAGAATGGAGAAGGAGAAGGGGCAGAAAGGAGGAGTGGAATGAAGAAAGGAAATAGAGAAATGAAGGGAAAATGTTGAGCACAACTGAGCACTAGAGCATTAAAGAAAAATTAAGTGTCTTTATAATGGGTAATCAGTGATTTATGTTTGGATATTATATTTCTTTATACTTTACCAGTTGCAAATACAGTCCAGTCAAGTGTGCATACATCTTAACAATATTCTTCACTTCTTCCATTATCAACAATTTTTCCAATCAGCAGGTGGAGCGGATGGCCTTCCTTCCTCAGTTACAATTCAGTTTAACTTTTGCAAATCTGTATCCTTTCTAATTTTAATATTTATTTCTAATATTTAAAAGGGCTTTAGTTCACTGTATACAAATTTCTAATGCACCACTGTATCAAGTACAGCATGTTTTGAAACAAGCACAGACAATCATGTACCTGTATTTGCACAGAGCGTTGTATTCACCTGACGACCATGGGGGTAAACAGACAGAGCATGTGGACGGATGTAGCCCTTTTATACACTTGTGATGCGGACTCCCATTCGGAATTTCTAAGCCATGGCAAACCACATGTATTTAAGTGACATTTATTATCATCCTTCAGAGAGGATACCATGAGATATATTTTTATATCTAAAATGAAAGGACATTCAGTAACACCATTTGTAAAATGGAATAAATTAATAAAAATACTGTGAATAATTCTAAATAATTCACATTCTAGAACCCTCTGGCTCTCTGGAGTCACATCTAGGAGACAAGTCCAGACTTTAGAAACAGTAGGGTTTCAGCTCTTACAGCAGAGTAGTGCTCTTAATATTAGTGTCATGAATATCTAGTTAACTGTATTCTAAAGCTTTGGTCAGGAAAAGATGGAAAGAGAGAGCACTTTGTGTCAGTGTGAATGTTTTCATGCCTCTAGAATGAAATTCCGTTAGGGCACGGAAAATCAAACCTTAACCTTTTGAGAATCTCATATAGCAAAAATCAAACACTGCAAATAAATATTTTCAATGTGACATGATCAGTAGATGCTTTAGTTTCATAAGAAAAACTGCTATTGATATAATTTACTAATCTGATTACCAAAAACTAAGATTTCATCTTTCAACATCTATTGAAACAAGAATTTGATCAAATCTATCTATAAATGGAGTACTTGAAATTTGTAAACCAAGAAATATCAATTTAAATAATTATGACAGTAAGTCATGTCTTTTTTATCTATCTTAAAGTAACCTATTTATCATATCTATCAGCAACTATTTCTAACTAACCTTTTAGCCAGATCTATAACACAAACTTTCCAAAAAGTAAATTTCCTAATCAAGGCAACAGCCAATTCTCTGACCCTGATAACGTCACATAAAAAAAAAAATGCAGAGACAGGGTTAACAAAACAAAAAGGAAGTTAATACAGTAAGTTCATTAGACACACATTGAAAAAGAAATCGATTGTAAATATTACCTCTCCTCCGTAAGCCTGAAGAAAAAAAAATGGAATCATGAGATAAAAAGACATTAACTTTAAATTGAAATATTGTTTAATTATTCTAGCATTAACCTATACTTCTATAACTCCCCTAAAGAATACATTTAATTATAAGTATTAAAATGTATCAGATATCACAACTAATGTGATCTATATTCCTCTCTCAGCAAAATACCCAAGTCCTTTTAGAGCTATTCTTACATTAAAATTCTAACTTAATATATTCTACACACTACATTCTAGTTTTGCTTCCTAGAAAATAAACACCACAACATTTGTCTTACAATTTCTTTTGTTTGTTTTTTTCACCTTCAATATTCTAAGTATCCCTTAATAACAAAAGTACCTAAGGCAAAATTTGTAGGAACTTTGCAAGTGAAAATATAAATACTACTTTAGTAAATACTAGTTTCCTGATTTTCTCATTTCTATGACTAACTGGGGTTTTACATAATATCAGCATGTACAAATTAAGATACATAACACACAAACAGATATTTGGATAGCTATTCACCCAATGCCTTGTTTAAAACAACCTTTCTCTTGTTATCTATAAATTCACACAAGTATTGTTGTTACCTATGCCATCTGTGTGTTATATCCAGCACTCTTGTAATCTGTACAACCTCTTGACTCATTAGAACTCAAAATGTAATTAAAACCTGAGTAATTAAAAACTGATCCCTATAAAATAAGTACTGTCTGATCTATATTACATTTGATCTACCAGAACTCGAAATATATTCAACCTCCTGCACTGGGGATTGCATATATGTATACGCCATGCCTACTGTGAGTCTAGTTTATTAATTATATTTGCACATCAATAGCTCCACAAACACTCAGTCACCAAGAGGTCAATCACAGGTCCTACCTATTGCACCTGTCTACAGTTTTGATTGATCTTAAGAAATGTATAGTCTTTTCATATTGCCACTAGTATTGTTAATAACATTACAATAATCATAATGTCATTATCAAAATATCACCAACAATATTAATAGCATTAGAAAAAAATCTGAAAATTCAAGGAAAGGAGTAATCAGGTGATGTCACATAACCTAAATGACCAACTCCTTGATGGCTGAGCACTTCAGGAGTCATCTATATGTAACCACATTTCACAAAGTGAACTAATATTGCACATTCTGGCAGTTTTGGGTCAAAGTCTTATCCCTGTAATAATGATTCTGTCAAAATTACATCATCTGCATAATATATAATCAAGACCACAATAATAACACTGTAATTAGAAAAAAAGCAACAATCCTGTACTGTACTTGCACACTTCCTTATCCAAAGTTATAATTTAAGCACCCAGATCCTGAGTTTGCAAATAGCTGTATTAAGTTTTCTTACACATTTAATTTCATTACAATTAATAGAAGCTACTTATCAAGCACACTTATCCCACATAATAAACTCCCTAGTCATCAAAAAAGCCAACTTTAATTTCTAAAAAGCAACATATGTGTGCCAAAGACTGACCTGTTGTTTACGTGCATTGATTTTGTTGTTTCTAACCACCTGCTGACTTTCTTGCTGCTGCTGTTGTTGCTTCTGTTGGTTCAGAGCTGCTGCTTTGGAGGCAGCCTCTAATCGGCGCCGCTGCTCATTCTCTTGCTCCACCACCTGTCATGGTTTTCAAATACCTTAGATTAAGACCACCTGATACCCTAAGCTGTGCCCCCCTTCGCCCTTCTGCTCTTCCTGCTCAGTGGTGGCCTTTGATCCCTTGCAAGAGTGGCCCTTCAGCATTATCTAATGGTGCCCCCTTGATACCATTAGAAATATGTGGACTTTAAAATGGATTTAATAGTATGAAGTAAAAAAAAATTAAAGTCCGCATCTCTTAGAAAATGTTAGGTCATGTATACAAATTGGAATTCCCTCAAATTTAGTGGCTATGACTATGGTATCAGTACTCTGTGGGGCCCCTTCCTTAGGTGACCTAAGCACTTGCTTAGAGTACTTGACAGTTCATTCAGCACTGCCTTAAACAAATTTAATATTAATAACAAATGTATCAGAAAATAATATCACATACAATTATAATGCATTTACAAATCATTGATGAAATACTTTCCAAAACCCTACTTCTTTCTCACACTGATTAATCTGTCTTTGCTGCTCACCTTGTAACAAATTAATCCAACTGCCTAGAAGACTTACATGCACCACACAATTACCTTATAAGTTTTGGTGAAACGGACAAAAATGGCAAAGAAGGTGTTAGGAGCCATACTTCTCGAGCTCTCTCCATAGTATTCTAACACTTCTGCAAAGGCTGCTTGTGCTGTCTTGGCCTCTGCTTTCAACTGTGGGATACGATTAAAGGAGTGTCAGAAAACGATCAGTCTACTTCTTAATATAACATTCTAAAACTTCAAAAATAACAAATATAAGACAGAAATGTAATCTGATAAAGAAGAAATGTCTTGATTTTTTTTCTTTTCCTGTTATTCCTAACAAAAAATAATTCCAAAAGTCACCTTTCACAAAATAATTTCTCTTCCTTTATTAACTATTTACATGTTAAATTGGATAGCTAATTGTAAGATTAGTTTTACAGAAAAATGCAATATGTGAAGAAGAAGAAGAAGAAGAAGAAGAAGAAGAAAGGAGGAGGAGGAGGAAAGTGCCACAATGACTTTCACCCAAAAGTCCTATTTCCTCCACAAAATAAAAGGATACAAGCTATACATATAAAGAACAACTCGCTCAAACTTACTTTTTTCAACTTTTCCTCCGAATTACTCAAGAAATCCTTGAGCACACTAGATGCAGCCTGTCCCTCCATACTCCTCATGTTCATTCCACGTTCATATTCCTTCTTTGCTTGCTCCATACCCTTTTCTAGTTCACTGACATCTGTGATAATATTCTCCAGTGATACTGAAAACAAGACATTTTGTTAGTGCACATCATTCAGCTCAAGAGAATTCATAATAAGAGTCTGCAAAACATTTGGGTCGACACCACTAATATTTTATGAAATGGACTAATTTGCTATTTTTAGGCTTATGGAAATACTAAGAAAGAAGAAAAAGCTACTGTCAATTGCCGTAATGTAGTCATAAATATCTATACATAACTTAGGAGATTAAATGTGATCATATTCTAAAACGAGAATATTACAAATACACACACAGCACACACACATGCACACACAAACATTTCTATATTCATACATTAATATATTAAAATAAATATAAAGTACAATATATCTGATGCAAAAGGTGGTTCAATAGATAATAAAAAACAAACAAGCATAAGACAAGTCTTAATTCCCGATCTAGATATACACAATCAACATTTGAATTTAAAATTTTCTTTCTCCAGACTATAAGGTACACTATTTCTGAAACTTATATGCTACGGTCCAGGTGACATGACCATCACACCATGAAAAAAATTTGGCTACAGGAAATGGGAAAAAAAATAATAATGCAGAGAAAGAGATAACAGAAATGCAAGTATTCATGTGGGCTGGGCCTACAAGCCACACGGCTGGGAGAGTCGCCACTTAAATTGCCTAATGCTAGGATTTCGGGCTGCACGCAAGCAGCAAGGCACCCGGACCCAACAGGTTAATAGAATTTATTCAGTGGAATTATTCATTCCCATGCACACCAAAAACACTCTCCTGGTCATGAACATAGTACACATACTTCAGGTAATATGTAGTACTAGCACAACACCTAAATTGAAAAATTTAGTTGCTTTCAAATAATATCATGAAATGCATGAAATTTTATATATATATATAAAAAAAGGACGATAAAAATCTGTACATGTTATGTTATAGATTTTAAAGTCTTGAAAAATATATATATACTCAGAATACCTGTACTTATGGTCACAATTTATGAAATAAAGTGAACCAGTGTTGTCCTACTCACCCTGTGCAGCCTTTTCAATAAACCTTAGTTCCGAGTCAAAATTATTGATATCTGGGAACTTCGCTCTCATGGTTTCCTGAATGTAGTGCATCACACTCATCTTTTTGTCCGCTGACTTTGTGTCACACAAAGTATCCAGACTCGACAGTTTGAAGCCATAAGCTGGACCACGTTTGCTGCTATTCATGTAGTTACCTTAGAAAATGACAATAAATCAATTAGTACTGGAGAAAACAAACAAATTAACAAAGTGTGTTTACTATATGAAATGGAGGCAATTCATTTCAAAGAAAAAGTAATAACTATATTCCATATTATTTGATAATAAAGCATGACATTACATGTACTTGTAATTTCACTCCCACATTCCATTCATAATATATACTTACCAAAAGCAAGAATTACTTCAAGTACTTTTTTCAACTTGTTACTATTCCTAACTGAGCGCGATGCTGTGATGATTGCATGAACTTGCTGTTGGTGAAGAGAAAACAAGTTTATATTAATATATCACATATATATATACATCTTGTATTAAGTAAAGCAGAAATAAAACATTATGAACACTGTAGGATTACTGTTACATTTTTGCTATGCAACTTATAATCATACTTACTGGAGTGACAGTATGTACACTGTCAAAGAAGTTGGCAATAAAGCTCATAATCTGTAGTTTGGTACTCAGTCTGTCCACCTTGCTGAGCTGGAGCATGTACTGGTCTTCGTCTGTCAGCTGGTTCACAGGTTTCCGATCACGTTCGTATTCACGATACGCCTTGACCTGGGAATGAAAAAAATATTTTTATAAAACATAAAAATGCTGATAATATCTAAAAAAGCATTCTGATCATACCAAATCCTGCATATGAATCTTAAGTGATATTAATAGACTAAGCATATAGCACCAATTTACAGCTTTTTTGTTTTTGTTTCATCAACTTTTTCTCCTTTTAACAAAAATAAGGCTCCTTTCTCACTCTCTTCCAAACACAAACAAACCTTCTTCCAGTGTAATGCCCTTTGCAAACATGCAAACAATGCAATATGATTATTTTCTACAAGTACATCTGAAGAGTCCAATTAAGTCATGAATTGGCTGTAATGACCACCTACCTCTGAATCATTGGGTATCATGCGTTGTAGGAGTTCCACACTCTCTACACTCAGTGTCTTTAAGTCTAACGAATTGATGGCTCTGCTAACTATGTCAAATGGCAGATCCAGTTTTCGCCTGGAGATGGCTGTGGATGCAAAAGAAAGGAACTTAGAATTAATCACTATTACCTTTGGCCAACTTGGATTACACATCATTACAATCCAAACAAATGTTCATACGTAACTGTATAAGAAAAATATTTTTCTATCAATATACATATATATATATATATATATATATATATATATATATATATATATATATATATATATATATATATATATATATATATATATATATATATATAACAGAAACCTATCATGATAAAAATTTGTGAATGAGCAAGGCTGTGGCTGCTGTCATCCTTTCCAAGGCCACTTTACATGTTTACTGTGGTTCCAAATAAACAAAAATACATACATACATATGCACATACATCATATAGACAGACAGACAGACAGACACAGACACAGACACAGACATAGGCATAGACAGACATAGACATAGACATAGACATAGACACAGACACAGACACAGACACACATAAATACAAAATAAAAATAACATCTACTTCAAATAAAGTCCCTCTAATAGAGATTACAATAACAAACATAATACTAACACCCAAATTACACTAGTTGTCATCACTCACCAATATTTCGCAACCGTGTGTGTTCCATCAAGGAGGTTAATTCAGGCTTCTTGAATCTCTTGCTCCCAAATCCATGGAGTGCGTCCACCTCTGAAACGTCCCCATTGGCCATTCCTGGGCCACCTTGTCCAATCTTAAAGTGCTCTTCGAAGTCAGAGAAGTCTATGCAGTTAAAGAGCTTCTCATCGTCTAGTTCGTTGAAGACTGTCCCTCTCACCTAAGCGAAATTAGAATATATGAGTAAGTATACATGCGCATAAAACACTTGTAGATAATTTATTGCTACAGTTAAAGATATCTGTATTTTGTTTCTCTTAACCCAATGCCACCTGGGAAATATGATACTCTTTGTCATACTGTTTTGTCAAATGTATCTACACACAGATGTCTCCACAAGTGCTCAGCCACCAAGGACTTAATGAATAGTCTATGTTGCCTCACTTTATTTTCCTGAGTATTCAGGAAAAGTATTCCTTTATAATGTAGTTAATACTGATACTGGTATTTCTATTATTGACATTATAACTATACAATGTTAATAACAATACGAATACTCATATACAAAATAAAATAAAGTATTTCCAAAAAATCAAGGAAAACAGGTGAGATGGGCAGGATTAATTGTTGACTCCTAGGTGACAGCAATAAGCACTTAATAAACTAAACTCATGGACATGCCACCCCCAGCAGCACTGGGTTAAATGTCTGTGTTCTTTAGTGCATATCATAAGCTCAAAATATATCTGAAGACTAATTATCATATTGACAACATGGCTGTGTTCTTCTCCATGTACATGAAAAAAAATCACAAAAATAGATGAAAAAACTCATTAATTGATTCAGAACTTGCAGTACATGACATAACTTCAAAATTCAAAACACGACTGGAAGAAAATCAAACTTCATCTTCAAGCTCAACAAAAAGATCTTACCTGGTTAGGCTTCAATGCCACCCAGTTGAGTGTCGGAAGTTTGTATTTGGTGTTGACCTTCTTCTTGATGGTCATGGAGTCAGGAGGAGACATGATAGCAGATGCCATGGATGGAGGTATGGGTGGAGGGGGTCTGGGGCCACCCATGATACCAAACGGCAACTTGGGAGGTGCGGGTGGGCAACCACCGGTACCTGGAAGTGGTGGTGGTGGTGGAGCAGGAGCCAGCCCAACACTGGGGGGAGGTGGTGGAGGAGGGGGGGGAGGAGCTGGTCCAGCCCCATCGAAGATATCGCCACCTGAGAGACATGTGCCATTAATTAACTTTTAGTTTCTTTTTTCTCTGGTCTTACAAAAAAATTCTAATCTCATGAATTCCTTTCATTACAATGAATTCATGAAAGACTAAATCACAGAAGAAAAAAAATTATATTTCAAGCCCTACATAGAATAATTATCAATAATTTTGAAGATCAAATCTTAGAAAGATTGATTTAACCTATTAAACAAACACTGTTCCCTTTCACAATATTTTATCACTTCTTTCAATCATGTCTATTTTCTTTAAAAATCATAAAAATCATTACTGGTTTTTTGAGATTTTGAGCGGGCAAGTGTTTCGAGTTCTACAATCTGCTTCTCCAATAACGACTGTCTTTGCCGTGACTCCTCGCTCTTCTGGTTCACTTCCCTTCGTAGAGTTGACACTTCCTCCTGAACCTGCAGGAAATTTTGATTTAAATAACGTTTCAAAAATCTGAGAAGAGAGAATACAATGACTATATTCATCTTCCAAATAACAATAAAAAAAATTAATAAAATTTAAACAAAAAATTTTAAAAGGCATAATTTTTTCTCATACCTGGCTATTAACGTTTTCCAGTTCCTCTTTCTGCCTGCGTAACTCTGCTAACTCTCCTTCCAGTTCCACTAGTTTAGCAAGTGATTCTGCTTCCATTTCAGACATCCTCTCTGCCAACTGTACCAATATAGAATTATTATTATTATTTACATGTGAATTTTTTCCTAACTGTTAGAAAAATATATTTTACTAATATGCTGATATATCATCTCCATTTTCTATCATCATAGCATACTATTCATTATTACATTAGTATTATAGTCTCTTTTATCTGATATTCAAGTTATTCCCCACAAACTGTCTTTACATACTTTTTGAAGAAAACAACAGAAAATATAATATCTTTCATGACATGCAAAATCATAAGATTAAAACTATTTGTTGCAATTGCCCTACTACTGAATTAACTAATACATAATTGAAATAGCTGAAATATAAAGTATATTTCAGGGCACAAGACTTACGTGTGAGAGTTCATCTTCCAGCTCTGCCACCCTTTCCAGTGCTGCTGTCTTTGTTTCACTGTCTTCCATGAGCGCAGCTACGTCGAAAACATTATCGAGGTATGCAGAAATTTGAATCTGAAGAAGGAATTCAAAATAATTTTCAAAAATCTGACCAATTCTAATAGCATATTCCACAAGATTTTCATTTTAAAAAAATGTAATGCACAACATCCAAAACGAATATATCCCTACACACACTAAAAAATGAATATTCATGATTCACAATTTTCTTTTCTTTTTACCTGTAATTCTTCGCTTTCATGGTGTCTTAGTTTTTCCAGGTAGTCATCAAGGCCCAGTTGTGTAAATTCATACTGCAGATGTACGCGGAAGTTCATGTCCTCTACACTGTGTACCACAATGTTGATGAACTGCATACAAGCCACCTAATTGAGAAAAAGAAAGAAAATACTTATCAAATCTACATCATTACTTTTGTACCATTATCAAACTTAAGCGAATTATATGTATCTCCGATTTGTACTCTACGACATCTTTACGACACTGAATTATGCACTATAATATCAGACAGACAATGAAAATCTAACACAGATTTTCTTCTCTTCATTCACAACATGAACAGAAACTCACCATGAATTCAATGTAAAAACAGTCATAGTTTGAGAAGTAATTCATGAGTGTCTGGAAACGTTGTGTCTCAGAGCAGACATCCTTGAAG